TAATTGGAAAAAAAAATTTTCTCCTTATTGATAAAAACTAAAATCCAGATCTTAGTCTTAAGTTAAAGTCAACAACTAATTATAATTACACAATTTATGAGATCCACAATTTTTCAACCACGTAGCTCATTAACTTTTATTAAAATTTATTAAAAATGTGATTTAATTCCCACTGAACAGGAATTTAGTATGCAACACTATATGAATCCTAATGCAATTGAGAAAACGACTTTGAGTACAATTTTCACGTTGTAATTAGTCAACTTAAACTGTGTATATATTGTCAATGTGATTTTCCTAAAGATTTTAATAAAAGTCGATAAATTTTATGATTAAAAAATTGAGAAAATGTCAACGATAAACAAAGAGAAGTGATTAAACAGATGATTTCACCTCAGAGACAAGGAGAGGTTGACCCTATTCTATTAGGTAAGAAGATTTTAAGCTTCAATGTGTCAAGTTTATTGAAATGAATTCCAACTCTGTGAGTTGTTGTCCTCTTTTTGGGGAAAGCAGTGACGGTGGTGCCGGTCCTTACCCAACCACTTCACCCACTTCAATGCTCGAATACTTTCTCGTACCTTTTTCTGAACAAATCAAAGAACCTAATAGTCGATCGTGTCGAAATTGATTTCCAACTTCCAGCTAAATGAGGTAGGTCCCATGCAGGGGCAGAGAAACAAAGTAATTCCGTTTAATTGATTCATCTAAAAAAAAAATTCCACAAAAATTTTTTACCTACGAAAGTAAGGTTGGACAAAATTCTCGAATCGAATTGAATCAAACAAATCTTCTTAAGTTAAATACCCAAATGGGCATCTAAATCAAGAACCGATGGATTTGGTTCAGTTTTCGGTTCTAGATCAAAAATCGAATATCTCTAATTTTTTTAATTAATTTATTTTAAATAAACCAAATTATTTTATTTTTTTCTAAATAAATTTGCTGACTAATTAATCTAACTCAAACCCAAAAATATGACTTTCTTATTTCTAATTTTCAGTTCAAAGCTAACTTAATCAAATTGATCTAAGTTTTATTAAAATTTATTACTCTAACGTAGTACCGTTTCTACCGTTTTAGAGAATCAAATTGAAACTTGACACAACACCTTTCTTAATTATTGTAAGCTCGCTATCTTCATCTTTCTATGATTTTAACAATCAAATCTATGAAGAACTTAGCAAAGAGAAACACAAAAGATACATAAGATTGAACTACGTTATTTTGTAAGAGCTAAGATTGAATATATCACTAGTTGAATTAATATAACTTTGTAAATATTAAAATAATTAATTATAATACGGAATTTGAGAATCGAATCGAACCGAACTGAATCGAATGGAATCGAACCCGAATGTTCGATAATTAAATTTGAACCCAACTATTTCACTTACTAAATACTCGAAAATTTCAAGGTCCGATTCGGTTCTTGTTAGAATTTAACCGAACCGGATCATGTCCAACCCTATACTAAAGTTCAAATGGGCTACTACCTTTCCCATCGTCGGTTTAAAAAATATGGATAAAATTAATTAGCTCCCCTTTGTTTTCCATTATTTGCCCATTAAAATGAAAAATATGACCGTTATCCATCATATCAAACCACCATATTTGATTTTCTATCTCTTGTTTGAGACTCGTAACGACTATATTTTTCATTTTCATTTTTATATTAATGTGTACCGAACGAGTCCTTCGTAGTTTTGATTTGGGTTTTTATTAGATTTTTTAGTTAAACACGCCATGCCTGTGGACACAATAATCGAGATGCGTATTTTCTTTTCACACATCAGAGGTGTTTGTACAAGAGAGGAAAGTGGGAAAAAAAAATTAGAAAAAGGTCTTTTCGTTGTTCATGATACATATAAGACGTTCTAGTTTTGGGTAAGAAAAAGTCGTGGGAGTGAGAAAAATATTGTATTGTGAGATTTTTTTCAAGTAATAAATTCTTCTCCAGTGATCTTTAAAGGTTTGTTGAACCACGTTAAAATTGCATTTTCTCTTTTCATCTCAATTTTTGGATTTATTTTATTATTATTATTTTTTAATAGCTGCATTTGGTGGGATTTTTCCCTAAGTGGCATCAAAGGTAAAGATTCAAACTCTGGGGCATAGCTGTGAAGATTATGGCAAGTTCAAAGTTTGAGGTGAAGCGTCTTGATAGAAAAAACAATTTTAATATTTGGTAAAACGTTGTGCAAGATATTCTCATAGAACATGGACTTTGCAAAGCCTAGATGGTAAGAGGTAATAAGGGACAAGAGATTAGGGGCTGTTCTCTTTGTATTTCAATTTTGTGTTTTGATTTTTGAGTTTCATTTTGAATTTTGTGTTTTGAGTGTTGTTATTGAAATTGTTGAAAGCATGTTCTTTTTGTCATTTTGAAAAAATGTTTTCCAAAACATAAAACTCGAAAACTTGTTCACTATCTTGCCAAAGCCCAAGCCTGTTTCAATTCCCATCTCCACCACCAAATCCACTCTTCACCCGTCACCATCATGTATCAAATTTTCGACGATGTTGGCCACCAAGACTACCAGATATTGGTACCCTCAGAAAGCCTTTAACCTCTTCTTCAATTATCAACCAACATCTTCCCATAACTCCATTGAATTTTCCCGGAATCCATCCACAAAGTAGCCTACCTAAAAATCTGAAAATTGCCGGAAACTCCACCACCGACCCCAAATTGATCGGAGCCCACCACCGATCGATTGCCCACCACAAACTGACCCCAACCATGGCCCCAATTGACCACAAACAACAATCCAACAATCGAATTAAACCCAGACATATTGGTCGTCGCGAAGCCTGATTTGCAGAATTCAAATTTTGTAGATTTTGGCGCCATCCGGTGGACCTATGGTCGCAGACCACGTGCGTTGAACTCCTCTTCACCTGGCGCACCTTGTCCAGCCATGGGTCAACCCTAATTTTGCCCAAAACTTGATGAATTTATGGGCGCACCTTGATGAATTTATGCCCAAAATCGTGACTGGTAATGACGATGTGAGGGGGTTCGATTGTTGAGGAAGAAGCAACGGTGGTGGTCGATTGTTAAGGAAGAAGAGGTGACGGTGGTCGATTGTTGAGGAAGAATTGGTGGAGAAATGGCTATTCTTTCATGGTTCTCTCACGCACAGTGGAGAAGAAATGGAAAAGGTTGTTTTCTACGTTTTTCATTTTTTAAGTGTTTTGTACAGAAAACACCCAAAACGACATTTTGGTCGTTTTGTGTTTTCTTCACAAAAAAAAATTTTTGTTTTCGAAAATGCATTTTCAAAAATGGGAAAGAGAACGTGTTTTCACCGTTTTGGAAAACCAAAAACGAAAAACGGCTCGAAAATGTCAAAGAGAACAGCCCCTTAGTGTTTTGAATGAGAAAATCTCCATGGAAGTTATGGAAAATTTTAGAAGAGGTACATATGTTTAAGTCCCAAACAAATAGACTATAGCTCAAGAACTCTACTACACTTACAGGGGTCTGTTTTACAAATCCATGCCAAATCCCTCACAGTTGCCAGCCTTGGCGTTTTTTTTTTTCATGTGGGACTGACCCCTACAGTGAGGGGTCGGTAAGACCCCTATAGGAAATTGCTTTGTACATTCCATAGCTGAATAAGCAATTATATGAATTAAGGATGTTTGACCATACTAATGTTAGGGATCACTTGAATAAGTTTAACAAGTGTTTAACATAGTTGTTAAATGTTGATGTTAAGATTGAGGATGAAGATAAGGTGACAATTTTGATGTACTCTTCGCAAAGTCATATGAAACATTTGTGACCACTTCGCTTGTTGAAAATTTTATTTTAACCATGAGCAAGATTTCAATTGCCTTATCAGAGACTCGGCATTTAAAATTTTGAATTGTGATCAATTTCTTTGTGAAGTCTGAGGTGAACCGCGAGAAAGTAATTATGATCAAGGGCATAATCATTCTCAATCTTGTACTAGATGAGACGAGTGTTGCTACTATCACAAGAAGGATCACATGTCGGGAGTGAAGAGACTTCTTGAAGCGAAAAAGGACTAAGAGGCTTCAGATTCGACAAACGTGTTTGATGATGACCGTGTCTTGAAGGTGATTTTTTGTTTGTTGCTGATTGTGGAAGCCTAATGAGTTCTTGAATTTTAGTTATGAGATGTCCATACTGTATTTGCTTGTAAAAGGAGTTGTATGAAGATTTTAAGTCATGAGATTCGCATAAGAAAGTTGAAATTAAGGATACGAGTACTATGAAGGTGAAGATATTTGACGGAGTGGTGATAATATGGAAAAGGGTTATGCACATTACAAGATTTGGAGCTCTATACATACTGGGTTTGAATATTCTGCGCAAGCTGGTTTGATGAATGTGAAGAAATATTCGCTTACAATAGTTAAAGGTAAAAAGAATGGTAATTTATACAAGCTTGTAGAAAAAACATTTGAGGTGGAGCTGTGGTGATGGAGCTCTGGTGTTGGAGTCACACCAAGGTGGAGTTGTAACGATCAAGTTAAACAAACAAGAGTCTTCCAGTATTGTCAATAATTGTGAAATGACAAAGATGAGTTATTTCGCTAATTATCAAAGAGAGATACTTTCAATAATGATGAAATATAAAAACTTATTAAAAATAATTGCATTGTAATCAGCAAAACTCTTAAGTCCATCAATACAACGAAATTGGAACTTAGATTAGAGAAAAATAAAAATAATAAAATAAATAAATAAATTCAAACTTGGATTCAATCGTATATTCTATTTCAAATTTAAAACCCCAGTTCTGGTATAGGACTTGAAAAGAATTCAGTTGTTGCCTCCCATTGTATTTTTATTTATTTATTTTATTTAACCAAGTTGTCAAATTTTTATTTCCGGTACCATTTCACCGTGTTTGGCCCCGTTTCTAAGACCTCAAACTTATTTTTAAACAAATTTCATAAGTTCCACAACTTTTATCAACTTTCCAACTTTCATTTACTCTTCTTTTATTAGGAGTGCAAAAATGTGTTAAAAAATAAGCACACCATAAATTCAAGCTGTAAAGAGCTTATATATCCACACGTGTCTACGAGTACAAGGAAAAAGGTAGCTTAGAGACGAAGTGGCACCGATTAAAACTATGTCCATTACTTTGCACACGAGATAATCTATAGCAACATCATCATCATCAAGGTAGTGCAATGCAAACATATTCGTCTACGTGCACACAATACATATCTACATAGTAAAAGCTCCATTCCGCGGCTGCTCTTCATTCAGATTTTCTCGATTCAGGGTGGCTTGAAACATGTCTAGCAGAATTGTAAGATGAAATTGCTGATCTCGTAGTATGAAGCGAATGCTTGGCTAAACTTAAGCTTTTCTTCGTCACCAGCCACACAGTGCAGAAGAATCCAATCCAACCTGATTCCCACAAGTTTGTTATGATTGCATGATATATAAAATAACAAGGTAGAATCTACGTTTTCTCACAATCACAGACATTGGCTTATACGTAATAATAGCAGAACAGAGAGTCGACATCTAACATAAAAACAAAAGAGATAACATACTTCATACTTCCATTCTGAGTCTATCTTTTTACTTTGTTCATAGACACTATCTTAAGACATATTCAAGAGGAGTTCGTTGATAAATAGGCTTAGTTCATAGACTAAAAGAGAGAGAACTTGCATATTAGAAGTTTGGAAGGGCCTTTTGGAATCTGTAGATTTTCAGTGTGCAAAAGAACTCAGAAAATATACAAAATTCATTTTTAGCCATACTCGAAATAAGAACGATAGTGGAAACAACGCATAGGATCATAATGATCAAAAGAATTCAGGTTCATATAAAAATAAGTTAATAGGACTTGAAAAGAACATAATATAGGATAACATAAGTTTAGACAAAACTCAGAGGTGCTGTAAGGTTTCTATGTGATTGGACGATACCTACCGAATTGGAAAGAAAGTTACCACATACCATTTGACTATTTGTCCTTTTTGGAACTAATTGTCTAGCTTGTGAAAGACAAAATGTCTACTAAATTGAGCGTTGAGCCGTTTAACAAAAAAAATATCAAAGATGATGAAAATAGTAAAGTGTTGATATTAAGATGGATCAAGACTATACTAGAATAGTTGAAATAATATGCCAATGCAGGATTAATTATCATAAATGTAATGACTAGATAAAAGTGATTGTCTTAGCTGCTTTTTTTTTCTTCTATATTTATTTGATACATGTCTAAATAAGTGCATGTACAAGACCAAGATTAATGAAACAAAATAGGCACTGAAAACACGACAAACAAAAACAGAAATTTTTTTGAATGTGTCAAATACTTATAGAGAACATAATCATGGAAAGATTACCTGTAGCTGTAAGAACAGCAATAATGGCTACAGTTGTTGCTGTAGAAATGACACATACAGCTATTGATAGAGCGCCAACATAAATGGCTGCAACACAGGCAAAGAAAAGAGCCAAGAATCCTCCTGCTGCCACTAAAGACATGAAAAGAGAAATGACAACGGCATTGAAGGTTGCAGCAGCAAAGAAAAGCATAAAAACCAGTACTCCAGTCGATGTGAGGAGTAAAATTGTCCCGACCTGCAACAGTTATTGTCTTACAGAGATCAATGTAGGAAAATTCTAACAAATATAAAGGAGACAAACAAAACAAAGCCTCAAAAGTAATTGGAACTCCAATTTATTACATTATTCGAAAATATGATATTCCAAAAGGGAGTATCACGAACCTACCTAAACTTGTACAACCAAAGAATATTGAGGCATGAAGTGATTATAGAAAAATGTAGGTGGTACAAGAATGTGTCAATGGGAAAAGACTAATTTTCATCACAGAGCTTTGACTTCTACTAGTAGACATATAATGCAATTTTCTGGGCAACCTACTATACTACAACTTCGTAGGAAGAAGTTACGAGCCACAATGGCACTTAACTGATGACGCTCTTGCCAAAACAAGCAAATAAAGAGTAAACAGGACATGTGTAAATGGTTTAAAGGGTTGTAACATTGAAAGAATCCAATGCCAAGTGTAGTAGACTGTATGCCAAGTGTGACCAAGAATTACACGAAGGCATATTTCTTGGCATAGTGTCGCCATCACGTGCCTTGTTCACACTCGAGTCCAAAACACTACATTCATGAGTATAATCAGAGAAAAAACTTCCATCTGATAATCTCTAATCTATGCTTAATCATGCCCAAAACACTAGATTCATTAGTTACTCATAAAAAATGCCTCTCTAACCATCTACAATGTATGCTGAATCATTTACTAATTTTGCACCTACAATTTTTACCCTATACGGACATCTTAGTAATCCTTTTCCTCCAGAAGTAATCAATTATTAATATTTCTCAGCTTCATAATAATAATCGAATTGTATACCACCAAAAAAATCTATATTCACATGCCAAACATATAAATTTTTTATAAATGCTGTGCCTAAATCTTCGAGGAAGAAAAATTGTTTTTGGTTTAATGGAGCCCAAATAAGGGGCTAAGTAGCCAACCAATACAGAAATTTTTTCCAATTCTAATTCAATAAAAATTTGAACACTTTAACCAAAATACCATAAAATCAAATTCACCAGCCCTTAATTAACCCACATCAGATTGAATCAAAATTAAAGAAAATAGTCAATAATACTTCCTTAAAAACATGAATCTATACTAGAATATACCCATAACAAAATTCGATACTTATTCCAGCATAAAAATTCAGGGAAAAAAAATTAGATTTTATTATGTTAAGGATAAAAACCCAGGTTAATATGAAAATAATAGTTGCCTTGGGCAACTCCTCTTAACGAAAGTCCAAGACTCTGTACAGTATACTTACAGAGACGACAAGGAGGAGGCGGAGGGGGCTGCCGCGGCGAGCCCAGGCGAGAACATGGCGACCACTGTTCGTCGAAGCGTCACGAAGCAGGGGAATATTTTCATAAACGGAAACTTTGATCCGGTGCAGTAGATGAACAGAACCGTAACGAGAATTCGGGCTCCGAAAGAAAATTGCATTGATCAAATTGCTGAAAACAGTATAAAGAGTCACTTCTCTCAGTTCTTGACGATGATGTGATCCTTTTTTTATTTTCTTAGGAAATCCAGATTCTTCACTGTCCCCTACACCCTCATACAAAACCCCGTTAAAATTTTCACTGGAATCCGCCATCTTTCACTCTCTGTAAGATTCGAGTTAAGAAAATCAAATCACAAAACAAAAGCTGAGTTTGACTGAAACTAATTCATTTGTTCGTGGGCTGACGAAGATTTTGATTTGCAGATTGGAAATTGACGAGATGGCTCGGTCCCACGTTGGGAATTTATTGCCACTTGTACCTGTAACATGAGAATTCAGCCTTGATTTTTTCCAGGTGTTGAGATTTTCAATAGTTGATGGGGCCCGTTTCTTTACTATCTTTGAAGGATAAAGCTGACCACGAATATTTTATTACATATAGCAACACCACCAAATTTGGAAAAATTTTATCTTAAGTTGTTGACATTCGAACTCCGATCTGGTAAAAACAGTTCGCTAACTTCACCTTAGTTAAAAGTGAGTTCGGTTTACACTCTCAGGTCGGAGTTATCAGCCGTTATCTCAAAAAAACACTATGATTACCCCTTATCACATCACCCTATCAATCAGAGACACTTGCCACACGTGATGTCATCGTCGCCTGGAATAGCCAATTCCAAGTCCTCGAATTCTAGCCCCCTACAAGTCATCATTACTTTGGCAATACATTGACACATGACCACCGCCCTCGTTGACCAATCATTAGAGAATTCGACGACCCGAGTTGTGAGCTCGGCGCTGTTGCTGATTTGATTGATTTGATGTAATTTCGGTTGAAATATGTATAAATAGTAGAGTAGGACCCTTGTAAAAGGACAACAAATTAAGATAACGACTTATGGCCCGATCCCCTTTTTGCAATCTTTTCTAAACACAAATCGCCTTTTTTCTTAAAGTTAGTTCAAAATATCCTTACTAATTTTGACATCAACAGTGTGGCACTAGAAGGAGGGTCTTAATTGTGAAAAATAGTTTCATTTGCTCCATAAAAACAAATTTTTTCTTTAAATGGCCATGAGTCATAGCTCAAGTTCCAAAAATTCATCTCACACCCACCCTCATTAAACGAATGTACCACTGGATTCTCCACAACGACAGGACCCTCAAATGACTGCAATGAGGAAAGCCCTAAAAAATTGACAAATGTAGTGGGGCGAATGGAAATGAGCTAAGCCCATTCGTCCCCACTAGATACCGATGTGGAATCTCCTATAAGGACAAAAGCAAAGCGTCCCCCACCAGGAGGCCTCTCCACTTTTCAAGAGGAGAATCATCGAGAAACCAAATCGACGAGGTCAAAAGCAAGGAGCCTGAAGTGAGAAGAACTGCAAGTGTGTTCAACAGATTGGGGACTCATCATTCGCTGACCCCTACGCAAGGACAAATCGACCTAAAACGCCCTTTGGAACAAACAGAACCCGAACTAAACGCGCTTAAAAAACGCATCGCCGAACTGGAGGCTAAAAACAAAGGTGGCACGGAAGGTTACCAAACCAAACGACATTCCCCCTTCACCGAAAATGTCCTCATAGAACCACTGCCTGAAAAATTGAAAATTCTCCAAATCACCGCATGCGAAGGAGATAGTGACCCCCTCAGCCACCTTGATAAATACACCTCGTGGATGGAACTACAGGGGGCAAGCAACGCAATCATGTGCCAAGCATTTCCCCTAACTCTAGGAGACAAAGCCCAAAGATGGTTCAGGAGGCTACACGAAAGGTCGGTAAAAAACTGGGATAATCTAGCCATGGCATTCTTGGCCCAGTTTATGGGCTCAAAGGCTAGAACTACACCCAAAGAACGTCTAGTGAGTATCAAGCAGGGAAAAAGTGAATCCCTCAAAAGCTATCTGAGTAGGTTCAATAGGCAATCCATAGAAGTAGAAAAAATATCTGACGATGCGGCACTCATGGTCGTATTAGCAGGACTAAGACCCAAAACAAGATTCTGGTGGTCAGTACACGAGAACGGCCCAAGGACTTATCACGAGTTCCTAAACCAAGCTGAGAAACACATAAGCGCTGGGGAGGCAACCTCTGACCAAGAGGAAGCAAGACGAGAAATTGACCTCAATGATGTGGTGAAAGAAAAAAACCAAGCCGCAGTCCTCAACCAGAAAGAAAGAAGGACATGAGAGAAAGAGATCATCCCAGGGCTCAGCCGTACAAGTTTCGGGAGTACCACCCACTCAAAGCCTCCTTGGAAGAGGCATTCACGCAAGCCAACACAAAAGAAGCATTTTGTAGACGTATAGTCCTGAAAAACGAACAGGATGCACGACGCCAAGGACGATACTGTCGATACCACAGGACGATGGGCCATGATACTGATAACTGCCAAGACTTAAAAGAGGAAGTTGAATCATTAATTTGGCGAGGTCGGTTACAAGAGTTTGTTGCCAAGCCAAAACAAGCAGATCGACCTACGGTGCAGCAGCCACAGTTGCAGGGGGCCCCCACACCAACCCAACAGGTGATCCCCAGCCGTAACCCACCTCCACATGCCGAAATCAAAATGATGGTGGGCGAAAATCAGTATATTGAAGGATCCAGAAGGGCCAGGCGAAGGCAAGCCCGAAGTGCAAAAACCGTACCGAACTACTGGAATCAAATCCCTAGGACCGGCATTGACCCCGAATTGTTCTGGTTCATGGAAGAAGATTCTGAAGGAATCCTCCAAGACCAAAGTGACGCCCCGGTGATCACAATGATGGTCGCCGGAGTGAAAGCCCACCGCACTCTAGTGGACAATGGAAGTTCGGTCAATATACTGTACTCACGAACCTTGAGGCAATTGGAAATATCAATTCGCTACCTCCAACCGTATCCAAGGAAACTATAGGGATTTTCTGGGGATCCTATCAAAACCCTAGGTCAGATAGTCCTTAGTGTGGAGCTGGGCGAAGCTCCTCACCAAAGAAGAATCTTAGCGGATTTTGTGGTGGTCGATTTACCGTCCAATTACAATGCAATATTGGGACAGCCCATTTTGCACGAACTAAAGGCTACCATGTCAATTTATTATTATTGTGTGAAATTCCCCACCCCTTACGGGACTGGAATTATCCAAGGGGTTCAAGCTGCTGCAAGGGCCTGCAACGTCGACCTGCCAAGACCCCAAGTCAACATGCTGAGGAATAAGACAAACACATAAGTCGAGGAAGCCAGACCAAAGAGACCAATCGTTGTAGATCTCTCAAAGATAGGCATAATGGAAAAAGATCTCCAAAAAGCCACAGACGAGCAGCTATCTTTTGACGAGAAGGAGGCGGACGCACACCCTTACCATGGAGTCATGGTAATCTCGTTACCTATAGCCAGAGTAACCATCCCCAAAGTCTTGGTGGATACAAGAAGCTCTCTAAACATCCTATTCAACCACACCCTAAAATGGATGGGTATCCCTGCTAACTTTCTTCAACCATACCCAAATATGGTCCTAGGATTAAGCGGAGCCTTGACTTTTGCCAAAGGATCAATCAAACTCAAAGTCAAGTCTGGATCAGCACCTCGGCAGTTGAAGACGAACTCCGAGTTCGTGGTGTTTGACACCCCCTCCCCTTATGATGCTGTGATGGGACAGCCCCTACTCTTCAGCCTGAGAGCAGCAGTTTCCCTATATCACTATTCTATCAAGTTTCCCATACCCCATGGTGTGGGGGAAGTCAAAGGAAACAAGGAGCTCGTCGAAAGTTGCCAATGGAATACCTGTACCAGCCATCAACACAGCTTCCTGAGGGTACACATGGCGAACATATGGGAATCCGAACTCATTCGCTTAGACCCACGGACCAGGATCGAAGGCGAAGAACCCGTAGAAGAACTAGAAGGAGTTCGAATCTGTGCCAAGGACCAAACAAAGGATCTCAAAGTCGGGTGCGAATTGCAGCCCTCCACCCGAAGCGAGCTTGTGGCTTTTCTTAAAGAGAACCTCGATGTCTTCGCTTAGGATCACAGTGACATGAGAGGAACAGATCATAATATTGCATGCCACAAATTACAGGTGGATCCCTTAGCTCGGCCAAAGCAGCAAAAACGACGACCTCTGAATCCTGAAAGATATGAAGCACTAAACAAAGAGGTGCAAAAACTGTTGAACAATGATTTCCTCCGTGAAGCGAAATACCCGAAGTGGGTCGCGAATCCGTCCTTGTGAAAAAACACAATGGAGATTTGAGGGTATGCATAGATTTCACCGATCCCAATAAAGCATGCCCCAAAGACGGCTTTCCATTGCCAAGAATAGATCAAATGGTGGACGCCACAGCCGGGCATGAGCTACTCAGCTTCATGGACGCGTATTCCATATGAAGCACTAAACAAAGAGGTGCAAAAACTGTTGAACAATGATTTCCTCCGTGAAGCGAAATACCCGAAGTGGGTCGCGAATCCGTCCTTGTGAAAAAACACAATGGAGATTTGAGGGTATGCATAGATTTCACCGATCCCAATAAAGCATGCCCCAAAGACGGCTTTCCATTGCCAAGAATAGATCAAATGGTGGACGCCACAGCCGGGCATGAGCTACTCAGCTTCATGGACGCGTATTCCGGATACAACCAGATACCGATGTACGGCCCAGATCAGGAGTATACCTCTTTCATAACTGATCGAGGTCTTTACTCCTACAGAGTAATGCCATTTGGTCTCAAAAACGCTAGCGCCACCTACCAGCGACTCGTGAATTACACGTTTTCCCAGCAGATCGAAAAAATAATGGAAGTATATGTTGACGACATGCTAGTCAAAAGTATAAAGGCTAAGGACCACTATCAACACCTAACCGAAATGTTTGATATACTGAAGAAGTATGGAATGAAGTTGAACCCAAGAAAATATGCTTTCGGGGTCAGTTCAGGAAGATTCTTAGGTTACATCGTAAACAACCGAGGAATCGAGGCAAACCCTGAAAAAATATAAGCTATCATCCAAATGAAACCCTAACTAAACCCATAAAAGTACAAAGTTTAACCATAAGGGTTGCAGCCCTCAGTCGGTTCGTCTCCAAATCTACGGACCAATGCAAACTCTTCTTCGACACGTTACGAGGTGGAAAGAAGTTCGAATGGACCAAAGAGTGTCAGGATGCCTTTAACAAACTAAAAAGACAATTAGCCAGACCTCCAGTGCTTTCAAAACCTAAGGTAGGCAAGGCCTTGAAGATTATTTATCTGTTTCAAAGCACGCCATTAGCGTCGTTCTAACCCGAGAAGAAAATGGCATTCAACATCCGGCTTATTATGTAAGCAAAGAACTTCATGAAGCCGAGCTCAGATACTCGGCTGTAGAAAATCTGGCATTCACCCTGTTGATGGCAGCGCGAAAATTGAGGCCATATTTCTTGGAACACCTCATTGAGGTCCTGACAAATTCTCCATTGAGACAAACGCTACAAAAACCTGACACCTCTGGACGGATTGTAAAATGGGTAGTATAACTTGAACACTTCGACATCAAATATACGCCTCGTTCCTCCATAAAGGATCAGGCACTCGCCGACTTTGTCTCTGAGTTATGCAATGTCCCAATTGAAGAACAACAGAAAGAAACCCCTTGGAAACTTTATGTCGACGGTTCATCCACCGGAGAACGATCTGAAGTCGGCGTCGTATTAATCAGCCCTGATCACCGCATGTTCTGTGAAGCTTTGCCATTCGACTTCAAAGCCTCAAATAATGAGGCTGAGTACGAAGCTCTTATTGCTAGAGCAAGGATGGCCTCGGGATTAGGGATCTCTGACCTAATCTTGCACAGTGACTCCCAGCTAGTCGTGAATCAGGTCAACGGTGTATATATGGCGAAAGAAGACAGGTTGGACAACTACCTACGTGTTGTGAAAAAAGAACTCGAAAGGTTCAAAACCATCCAAGTCAAACAAATTTCCCGATCTCAGAACAATCATGCCGATGCATTGGCTTGCCTAGCCACCAGTGAGGGAGTCGAGGAATTCGATAGCATTCCAGTAGGAAGGATATTTCTACCATCTACCGAACTGGATAAAGTGATCCTGATGATGATAGACCCTAAACCAACTTGGCAGGACGAGATCATCTCTTACCTGAAAACCGAAAAATACCCCGAAAATCCTGCAGAGGCTAGAAAGCTCCAAACAAGGTCAGTCAAGTACACTCTCATTGATAATATACTAGACAAATAGGGATATTCCACGCCCTTGTTAAGATGCTTGAATGAAGAGGAAGTCTGGTACGCCCTGCAAGACGTTCACGAAGGAATATATGGAAATTATTTCGGCGAACTCTCACTGGCCCACAAGATCGTACGACAAGGATACTTTTGGCCTGCAATAAGACAAGATTCCCTTGAATTTGTCAAAAGATGCGATAAGTGCTAGTGCCTCGCCCCCATCATAAACACTCCACCAGGCGACCTAAACTCGGTGACAGCACCTTGGCCCTTTACAAAATGGGGGGTTGACCTAATTGGACCCATGCCCGTTGGGAAAAGAGGTGTAAAATTCACCATCGTCGCAGTGGACTATTTCACTAAATGGGCCGAGGCAAAGCCCTTTGCCACCATCACCGAACAGAAAACAACCCATTTTTTGTGGAAATCAGTGATCTGTAGGTTCGACATACCTCACTCCATTGTTACGGATAATTGAAAACAATTCGACAACACACAACTTTCGGATTTCTGCGAAGAGCTCAGCATCAGAAAACATTTCTCATCACCAAACCATCCACAGGCAAACGGCCAAGTCGAAGCCATTAACAAGATTATTAAGCACACATTGAAAGCAAAACTTGACTTGTTAAAAGGAGAATGGGCTGAGGAACTCCCCAGTGTGTTATGGTCTTATCGAACTACCGCAAGAACAAGCACCAGAGAAACCCCATTTTCAATGGCTTTCGGCATAGAGGCCGTGATCCCGCTGGAAATCCACATTCCTTCGCTATGCATAACTGATTACGATGAAGAAAGGAACCACATGGCTCTTCTCACGGAGCTCGACCTAACCGATGAAAAAAGGAACAACGCCGAACTAAAAAATGCCATTTACAAACAGCGAAATGCCAAGTACTATAATCAAAAAGTGTGGAAAAGAGAATTTGAAGTAGGATCCCTCATCTTACAGAAAGTATTCCTCCCCACAAGAGCGGCAGTGGATGCCTAGGTCCGAATTGGGAAGCTCCCTATCTGATAACGAAGTTCCTGCTAAAAGGGCATATGAACTGGAAGACTTGGAGGGCAGATCCTTACCCCACCCTTGGAATGCTGAACACCTTAAGCAGTACTACTAGTAAACGGAAAAAGTCCCCTTGTAACGTCAATCATATCAATAAAAATGGACTTTCTATTCTTTTGAACATTTTTGCTCGGCAACCTGTCAGAATCTCATTAAGCCCTGCCTCATATGTAGGCCGATCTAAGGTCGTATGTGCTACAACACTTAATGGAAGATTCCTTCTAAGGAATCTCATTAAGCATGTGCTATGACACTTAGTGGAAGATTCCTCCTAAGGAACCTCATTAAGCCCTGCCTCATATGCAAGCCGATCTAAGCTCGTACGTGTTACAACACTTGGTACAAATGCCCAAAGTATATGCCTAATTCGGAAAGCGCGTACTGCACAACTAAGCGAAATTCATTTAAAGTAATTCTACACACTATTGTAACACTCTTACAATTTTTACTAAGTCTGTGAGAAAAAATCATACTGAACATAAATAAATCATCAATTTCAAATTAAAACATCATAAATCAGTCAAATTATCCATTTCAAATTAAAACATCACAAAACACCTAAGGGTCTTGGGAGGCAGGGGTGGTATCTCCAACATCCTGAGTTTCTAGTAGCACTCGGACTCCGACGGACTCCGGCAAACTCCGACAATTTTCGTAACTCCTCCTTCTGTCCCTCAGTTCCTCATCTAGAAAGGCCACATCAAGATCGGGCCTCTCATTCCTGATGTGCCCTATTAACTCCTCTAGGGCCACAACATACACATCCTGGGCCACCAATCAAACTAGGAGGACTCCTTCCAGGCATCCACCGCCCTGTCGATCTTGGCCTCAGCCTCTTCAACCCTGTTTGTGGCCTACCTTGCCCTTTCATTGGCCTCCTGAACCTTCTGGATGGCCTCCATAACTTTGCCACGCTCCTCTTCTGCCCGAGCCCTGGCCTCATCCTCCAAGGCCCTCAACACTTTGATCTCCTCCATCAGTCGCTCCTCGACATCAAGCCTGGAGTTCAGCTCAATTCCCATCTGGTTCAGCTTCTCCTCGTACTCCTTCTCCCATAAAACAAATTCGGTCATTTCAGCCTCCATGCTATTATAAAGATTGAAGGCCTGATCTTTGGCCTCTATCCGTTTGTCCAGCTCGGACTTTACCTGTTTTTAGAAATCAAAAATCAAGCAAGTCATTAAGGCATTTAAAAAAAAAAACAAACAAGTATGAGGTATACCTTATCCGCCACTGCCATCTTGTACAAAACATATCAGTGGCCATGGAGCTGAGTAGTGACTAGAGCCTCGCCAATGGGCATCTCATTCATATAGCCCTGCTCCCTCTCACCCCAGCTCCGGATAAGTAAATTGGCCGACTCCCTCAAAGGCGAAGTGAGCGCGGCAGTCATGCCCCTGGGAGGAGAAGGAGCTCAGAGATAGTCCAGAAATATCTCCAGTCTATGTCCCACCAGACTTTCCTAGCCCGGCCTTTGTAGATCTAGGCACCGATCCTTCAAGTTCGCAGAACTGGTCTCCATAGCAGAAGGAGCAACCGCTGATGGCAACGAGGGAGACGACAAGGTTGGGCTCAGCAGAGGCACTGCCTCTGGAATTCTCAATGATGTCGGGGGCGCAGATCGGTTCGTCTTTAACGAAACCTCTTCCTCCACCTCCTCAGAACGGCTCTCCATCCGATCTGGAACTTCTCTCTTTTTCCCCTTCGATGCAACAGCCGCCTTAGCCGTCTTGTAACGGCTCTCCATCTAATCTGGAACTTCTCTCTTTTTCCCCTTCGATGCAGCAGCCGCCTTGTAGCCCCGCATTTCGTCCTGATGACCTGAGAGAACAAAATGCTCAAAAAGAAAACATGTATATGCATAAAGAAATTATAATCACGAATGAAGATCAAAATATTATCTGACCTGGAAGGAGCAGAACTTGAAGCTCGTACTTGCAGCAGTCCGGCCTGATATAAGTTCGAATCTGAAATTACAAACTTACAGGGCCTCTGCTTTTTAGGAAATGATCTTATTTTCTCAGCTCTTCTCTGAGTGTCTCTGGTTAACATCTCCTTCTTGTAATTTGCACAAAGAAGAACACCGAGGTCAGCACTTCGTAAAACATATGCCTTGCTAAAAGACTAAGACCCAAAAAGACACTTACATAACGAATGATAGAGCGTGGGAACCACGTCCTCCCTATTTACCTCGGCAGAATGAAACTGCCACTCCCCTAATACGTAAAACCATTCGTCCTTCCATTTCTTAATTGAGGAAGGGGTGTCTAACACCAAAGAACCTCCCGTCCTGGGCCTAACGCTTGTGTACCACCAGCCCGAGTTCTTCCCATCTTCCTTAAAAGTAAACAAAGAATCGAATTGTTGGACAGTCAGCTCGAGATTCCCCATTTAGTCCCACAGAATAAGGGTGGATATTAAGGTTCGCCACCCGTTAGGGCATAGCTGCATGGGAGCTATACCCCAAGAAGAAAGGAATTTACGGATCATCCTAGGAAAAGGAAGCCTAAGGCCAGCCTGGAGGATAGCCGAGTTCAAAGCAACACATCCCTCAGGAGGAGTGTCAGCTCGGTCAGAAAGCTCTGGTATTATCATAAGTACCGAACTAGGGATGGCGTATTTAGCCGGCCAGTTGGCCAACATATCCCCTGTCACTACCGACCTATAAGAACTCGCCCCCCCTCCCCGGCAATACCCTCCTCAACATCCTATCGGATCCCCTTGCTCCCTTGGAACCCTCACGTCCTAAGTCCATCATAGGATGCCCTAGGTCAGTTGGGTTAACTATAGAAATAGGAATGGGGGTAAAAACTTCCCTACAATTAGAGGACGAACTCGAGGAAACTGACTCTTCCTACTGGTTGCCCCAGGAATGAACTCTAGACTCGTCCTATAAACTAAGAAAAGAATCACAAACTGAAAGGAGGCAGCAAATAAGAACAGAAGGATACATGGGAGACGAATCGAGAAATCGACCTCACTCGAATACGGGAATACGAACTTAGAAAAATCGTCCAAATATCTTAGAAAGTAAAAATCAGCGAAATAGGAAGAGAAATGATTGACCAAAACCTAATTTAAAGGAAGGGAAGATGAGAGGGCGCGATCTGAGCCATTCATTTGGAAACAGAGGGAAAATATCAACGGTCCAAAACTCTGGGAGACAAAACGACATAGTTTTGGCCAAAGCTTGCTGAAGAAGCTATTTATAAGTGGCGTTTAGCTCATCCACCTCTAAAGATGACACTTGTCGCAACCATAAATGTACTACTTGGAGAAAGCATCATTGAGGTCAGCCTCCCTATGGCAGGGCTGACCTGGGGTATAACTGTTGACATCTCCGATCTGGTAAAAACAGTTCGTTAACCCCATCTTAGTTAAAAGTGAGTTCGGTTCACACTCTCAGGTCGGAGTTACCCGTCGTTATCTCAAAAAAACACCATGATTACCCCTTGTCACATCACCCTATCAATCAGAGACACTTGCCACAGGTGATGTCATCCCCGCCCGGACTAGCCAATTCCAAGTCCTTGAATTCTAGCCCCCTACAGGTCATCATTACTTTGGCAATACATTGGCACATGACCACCGACCTCGTTGACCAATCATTGGAGAATTCGGCGACCCAAGTTGCAAGCTCGACACTATTGCTGATTTGATTGATTTGATGTAATTTCGGCTGAAATATGTATAAATAGTAGAATAGAACCCTTGTAAAAGGACAACAAATTAAGATAACGACTTATGGCCCGATCACATCTTTGCAATTTTTTCTAAACACAAATCGCCTGTTTTCTTAAAGTTGGTTCAAAATCATCCTTACTAATTTTGACATCAACGACAGTATATTTTGAGTTTACGTAGAATATTTGAGAATAAATTATTAAAAATTCTTTTATATGACATTTATCTTTCATTTCATTGTGAATTGAAGTACTTTTTTTCTACTTAAAAGAATATCTAGAATCTAGAATAATTCAATAAGTTATATCAGCTTATATTATTTTAATACGAAATTTTGATGTGTGGTGTTAGTCAATAAAGATGACCATAGTTATGAGCTTGTTCTATATAATGATCCAAGACTATGTCCAAGCCATCAGTCAATGAAGATGACTATAGTTATGAGCTTGTTCTATATAATGATCCAAGACTATGTCCAAGCCATTATATCAAATTTAATGCCAATTTTAAGAGAACATGTGTCCTCTTACCTCTCATCGCTTTTAAGAATTCATGATATTATTTGATTATACGATATTGCTTTGAATATTATCGATGACATTATGACTCATGCATCACGAGATATATTTGTGGCGTCCATGTGACACAAGATAAGCCAATGATACATAACTCGTAGAAAAAGAGATCATCTGACAGAATTGAAGGGGTTTTTGAGCAATGCGATATGAGCCTTAAAAAAGATGGGCAGAGAATTCCTTTCGCTTAGGGGAGCATAGTGAGACAGATAGGCTTCTAATCCTGTAGCAACTAGCTACTCGACCTTAGTCATTGTTAATCAACTGAACTCATATCAAAGTATAATTATCCAATTGAACTAAATTGAAATATGATTACCTTGTAAAAGTATATTTTATCTTGAATGAAATTTACCTCAAATGTAACAAGTCTAGACAATCCAATAAAAATTGAGTCATCGTCAAATTTGATCAATCTTGCTCGCCTTTACACTCTGTTGGACATTGGGCTACATTTGACCTAATCAATATGCCCAAAGTCGATCGATCAAATCGTCAAAGAAAATTTCAAATCTCATCCTTATAATTCACAAATTTTTAATTCATCGCAAATTGGTCACTACTAAATGCAACCCATCAACTCTTCTATAATCACGTGCTTTGCATATGACGATTTCCTCGAGGGTTATTTTTGTCTAGTATGTATCACAATGGACCCACCTTCCTAAAAATATAACATATATATCACATATTGAGTCTGGTTAAGCACATTATATCTTGTCTTTCTTGAGAAATGAGTTTATGCTTGTGGTCGATGAAAATAATCCTCAAATTAGATATCACGTGCAAGTCTATCGATAGTATTGATGGTTTTGTTTAATCGAGGGCCAATCTGCATTGACAATTCATGTTTGAGGACTTGAATGCTAGAAAACGTTATTGCAGATCACGTGCTTTATTTATTATATTATTACATTTCAGCCCCTAGATGACTGCGTGGCTGATTGGATCACCACGCACGGTTTCTTCAAATCTTCCTTCTAACAACGGTTTAGGGTTTTGGACTTCGTAAATTCATTTAAAATCCAAAGGAAAAAATTCGCAAACCGTCACTGATTTCACTTAAAGATTTTTCGGAAAAACATGTTATTTCGACAAGCAGCTGCTAATTTATTCAAGAGACTCCGAAATTCTGCTCCATTTCCGACCAAAAACTGGAGTTCGATGCTAAATGCAGGTAATTTCTACACTGTTAATGCTTTATGATCGAAAAAAACGTTTTTTTATTGATTAATGAGAAAAGTAAGCGTGATTGAATTAAGCTCTGTCGTGGGATTTGAGAATTATTGAGAAGATACGAAATTTGCTCATGTTGCAAGAGAAAAATCTAATTTAATATATACTTTTGTTAATATTTTTTGTGTTTTTCTATAGAACACGCATTATGATTGTATTACTTGATTCAATTGCTCTGCTTTTTAATTGTTGCCATCAAAATTACAGCTGGATTCTTGAATTTGAGTTGTTTGCTACTTGTGCGCTGATTAAGATTATTGATCCAGCAAAGATTATTATTGTTTGCTGAAACAAAAAAAGGGGGGATTTTAGTAGCAGAGTTTGAGCTATATTTTCATCTTAAAAGAAAATTATCTTAGGAATTGGAGTAGTTGCATATTGAAAAGGTCAGTCTGTTTGATGGGGTCGATAGCACTTGTGATGCTCTGACTCTCCATTCCGGCCAAAGCACCCGTGTCGACAGGTCACGGGGACCGGTATGGGATATGGGGCGAACATGGCAACCTAGAAAGCTAACAGCGACGGCGCCACAGGGGGAAAAAAAAAAAGTCTTCTGCTCCCCTATGTTGGAGAACAGAATCTGGAAGGACCCTTGCGATGATGGGTGTGAGACTTGAATACAAATCCTGCTTCCCTTCACCGTGCTCGGATTATACGACCCATTTCGGCTTCTTTGTGTTGGATGGGAAGAAGACAGCTTGGAAGTGGTGAAATGAGATGAGGGAAGAGAGAAATAGGGGTTTTAAATAGAGGATTTGGATCGGGTTAATGAAATGGGCTCAAGATGTGGAGGCCCAGTAAAAGAGAAATAGCTTTTCATAGAAGATTAGGGTCAAGTTTCCCTAGGCACTGCTTGGGCTCAGGATGGGTGGCCCATTAATATAGAAAGAAGCCCCAAGTCTTGGCCACTGTTAAGAAAATAATGAATCTAAAACAAAATTAAAAGTATCTTTCATGGTATCTATGAATAAAAAAAAATTAAGCCCTTGTTTGAGCCCCATTATTCTCAAAATCCATTTTTTCAAAACTCATTTTCAATTACATATTTTTTAGTAAAATAATATTACATGCAAACTCAAAATTTTTCCTTAATTTTTAACCACACATTCTCCATCAATCACTATTTAAAAATGCTTTCCCTTAAAATGGAGCTCAAACAATGATTAAAGAAAAGTTGAAATTCTAAAAACGTACCCATTTACTTGTGTCCGAAATTTGGACTCTTTTTAGTCTTGTCCTTGTACTCTAAATTTTAAAAAATAAAAAATTCAACACTTAGATGCGTACCCACACTCAAGTTTGAGCATCATAGCATAGCACAATAGGAGATTCTGATGAACCATTTTCTATGTATATTAATTAAATCAGATATTCACTGAAAAGAACAAGAAAAATTCAGTAGTCACTAGAATCGCTACTAATTCATGTTATCTATTGAGGGTTAATTTCATGGTGGATCACTAAACTTAGAGTGAAATATCATCCGAGGTTGCTAAATTCCATTTTGTCTCATACATGCCACCTAGATATCATTTTATTTCAACATCAGTCACCATGTTCACTTCTGTTGGTAAAAGTAAAACTAGTGGAATGTAACAGTGACGGAATGCTGATATGCCAATTTGATTGCAAAAACATAAAATTAATTTCCAAGATGACCAAGTTATGTAATACCATAGTTATTAAAACCGAACGGGACTGAGGGGGCAGACCAAATCTGGTCTACTATATCAAACCGCGTTGCAAAGGACCCGTTAATAACTGCCCGAACCGGTCAGGCTTGCATGAAATGAGAACCGATCAACACGAACCAGTCCAATAGCTTTAAGAAAGTCTAATTGCCTTTGAAGAAAAACGTAATTCTGTTGCAATGTGATTCGAACTCAAGCCACCTTTAGTGGAAAAGGGTGCCTATATACCAGCGCTATGATTGCACATTTGTATAAAAATCTATTTTTATATAAATTCTAAGTTTAGCATTGACCCACTGATACCCAACTGTTCAACCAGTGATCCAGTGGGTTCGTCTTGGTCAATGTGCAGGTTGGGTGGGGTGGGTACTATATGTAATACGAGAAAAGAGAAAAAGAATGCAAGAAAAGGGGATGTTGCTCAATTGTCTCCAGTGATTGCTTAAAACTATTTGGAGTCCTGATTCTATTTTAGTAGTTGTGGATGGATCTTCAGAAATGGTACAGTTTATTCCTTGATCCAAAACAAGTAATGCTTCCCATGTTGGTAAGTTGGTTTCCAGTGATGTTGTTCATTTGCATAGGTTGCATCCATTATTGCCATTGATTGAGATGTCACACTTGTCAGAACTCATGAACAGGGACTGTTATTTATTCAATATCATTTTTTTATTTTTTATTTTTTGGTTTAATCATATTGTTGTGATTCTTTTTGTATATTTATCAGCTGTGCGATGTTATTTTCAGGAGAACTGAGGTTTTCTGGTCAACGTAATTTTGGAGGTCATACTTGGAGTAGTAATTGTAGGCAAGCATTTCAATGGGTTTTTCTGCCTGGACAAACTGGTATGCATTATTTTACTAGAGTTCTGACAAATTAATTTGCATTTGTTCACTATGATATCTCTCTGTTGTGTCCATAACTAATCCAGTTGTGTTATTATTAAATTCCCAATGGAGAAGGTAAACTAAGGTTGCTGGTATATGGGGACTAGGAGATATAACTTGTTCTTACAGGGTTTTCTACTTCAGTTTTGGATTCCTGGATTTGTGCTTTATGTTCTTTCGGTGATGATTTATCAGTTTCTTTGCACCACGTGTTTTTGTATACGTTCCTATCATTAGGTCGATGAGTAGATATTGCATTAACTGTTTTATTGATCCGGGAAATTAACTTTTCTTGAACTATTTTTTCATATGGACTTGTACTTGAGAATTTCTGCTCCGAGCATATTCTTCTGTTGATCAATTTTAATAGTGTCAATGAAGCTCGGTATGTTTGACAAGTCTACTTGATTATCTGAATTACATTAATGCAGCAATGCTAAAAATTTTGTGGACACTTAAAATATTTTTTTTCTCCATTTATTATGAGTAAAAATACATGTGAATCCTATTTCGTAAATGCGAGGTACCAGTGGGCAAACAAGGTCGCAGGCAAGACGGTGCTTGCAAGCACCAGTGGTGCTCTCATGGGCTAAACAATAGAATTTTGATAAGTAAATATTTAATCCAGGCGTAGTTCTGAGTAATTCACCATGATAACCATTTCATGTTCTTGTAGGGAGATAAGAAAACTGGACAAACAGTTTTATTGCTGTATAATACTTAGTCTCTTGGTAGTAGATAGGGGGAATCATGTTAGTTGTCTTTGAAGTCTTAATTTCACTATTTAAGTCCTTAATGTTTTGTAATTCTCACAGGTTTGTTATTAATGAATGGATGAAAATGCCCTCAAGTAGTCAATGTGTACATCTAATTTGAACCAGCAATGTAAAATACAAGAACTTGTACTTTAATTCCCGCAGAAAAGGACTTTGAATGCTTGCATTGCAGTCTTTGACACATAAACACAATATGTTGAGGAATTCCCTTTATTCTTATGTTAATGCCTTCATGTGCACAATTATCAACTATATGTGTATTATATACTTTGAAGAATGTACAAATTGGATCATTAGGATAAAATGAAGATATCAGGACTATTGTGTTAAAGATGAAACTTAAAGGACTAAAATGGGGATTTTCTGTAGCTCTAGGGACTATCAGTGTGATTTATTCAAGCAGATTTTTAGCTCTATATATGACAACATAGGCTTTTCTCTGGACCAGTTGTAAGGAACCCAACTAGAATCTTGCAGCTCAGAGGTGTTGTCCAAGTATCCACTATGATTTATATGGTCAAACTTCCCTAGCTATGTTATTCAATCATGTTCTGCAGTGTCAGTTTTCGGACTCAGTCAAATCATTTGTAAGCTGTGAATTCTTCAATAACTTTGTCTTGACTGACTTCAAGAGAATAGTAATAGGCCAAATCATGTTGTATATTGTCCTTATTTGCATGTTCATCTTTATTTTAAATTTATGAACCTTCGTTGATAAGGTTGCTGATGGGATTGACAAGGAAACACCATAGAGGGTATTAAGGGTCTATGGATTAGTTGAAAACGTGGAAAGATGGAGTACAAAGACCATTTAAGCAACTGGGAGAGAAAGGAATCAGTGGAAAGGGAAGGAAAACAATTCTAACCAATGATTTCTTTTTTATATTTCTCTGGATATGTTTTTTATTTCAAACTGTGTTTATGTAATTTTATAATGATTAATTGATTTTTATGACATGCTTACACTTGATAAGTTGATTCCTGTACATGCTGGCAGGATTTTGATCTTGTAATTGTGTTTTGGCCACTTTGGCATTTTAGCAGTCATGTTTACTTATTCAATCCTGTAGATTGATGATTTGGTTTTTTCACTAACTATGACGTTGAGGTCTTGGTTGTATACGTAATTGTACTTGAATAAAGGCTTAATCCTAGCAATCAGACTTAATCTGGTTGTGCTGAATGTTACGGGGTCTAGTTCAGATAATGATCTTTAACAATGTGTTATTCTTCAGTGTAGGTAAATTCCAATTGGCTAACATTTATATCCTTTTCTTGGCCTTTTTGTCATATGTCCTGTGATATATTTGACTTGTCATATCTCTGGTACATTAGAACTATTCTAATATTTTTAGAGTCTATCTAATGGAGATAGACTTGCAAGTTAATTAGAATTTAGAAGTAGAGTTTGATTTAATGTATATTTATTCCTATTAAATTAGAATAGTTATAATATTTTGACAATATTCTAGTTTAGTAGAAGTTCGTTTGATTTTATGTTCTTTCAGTTTCGTTTGCTCTATAAATAATATGGCATATTCACTGTAATAGTCAACCCTTGATTATAGAAATAAAATTGAAATCTTCTTTGCCCTCAATTTTTCTCTTCTTGGACCCCTTTCTTTTCTTGTTCATTAAGAAATTATTACGCTCTTGCGTCATTAGCTAGATAAAATGTCATGAATGATTGCTGTGTATGTTAAGTTTTGTGTATCTGTATTGTCAAGAGATGTATAGCTGCGAGTCAATTTAATAGGTCTTCTCATATGATTTTAGTGGAATCTATAGTATTCAAAATAGAAGTTCCTTCAAGAAAGCTTGCAATCAACAGTAGGAAAGGAGCCTGATGAGTAGGACCTACGGAATGCTGAATAATCTTATTCATAATAGAGGTTTGGGGCCAAATGGCTGCAGGTTGAATAGCTTGCAAATATCTTGAGTATAATATATTACTCCTGAATTAATATATTTCGCTCCATCCATGATTAAGGGCCTGATCGGAGCTGTTTCCCCACGATGTTTGAGTTTGTCAATTCAGTCTTTGTTTACCCTTTTTACTTCATCGTAGGAGCCTTTGATGGAATTGTGTATCATCCAATGTTAAACGATGGAAGTTTAAGCACTTCTATGTGATTCTTTCATTTAAGTTATGTGATTATTCGGCTACACTATGACAGAGAGTATTCTTTTATTCTAGTTTGTGGTTAATGAGCTTACAAAATCGCTAGAAGTTTGCAAGGACATTACTCTTAAAATAGATTTGTTTAAATGATTATCTTCCAGGTCACTGTTTCTAAGTTTACATATGTGCTGGTGTAACTTATTTTCCTTGTGAAGTTTTCGTATACCTAGACTTATACTCTGTAGCCATTCATGTTATTTATCAGTAATATCTGTTCATGTTGTATTTGGTTTAACATTCATTGTAAACCCTTCATCAAAAATTTAAAATTCTCCTTTGTCTTTCATCATGAAATTCTTTGTCAAAGCTAATTTTTGGAAGCATCTATTATCTATTTTTTCTGTTTACAGTAATTATCCTGGGTATAAGTTCTGTGCCTGCTTTAGCTGAAGATGTTTCAGTTGAATCAAGTTCTAAAAATGCTACAACTGAGGCTGAAATTACTGGGTTACGTGAAATTGAGGATGGTTCTGTTATATCAAATGTACATACATCTAAATGGAGAGTTTTTACAGATAATGGAAGGGATTATTTTATTCAGGCAAGTAGTATTCATGTTGTGTGGGGTATTATCTCTGACTTCTCTTTCAGCATTTTGTCGTCTTGTTGTATTACTTATGGTTAACTTATTTCATCTAGGGAAAACTTGAGCAAGCTGAAAGATTTTTCCTATCTGCAATTCAAGAAGCTAAAGAAGGTTTTGGAGAGAGGGATCCGCATGTTGCGGCAGCATGTAACAATCTGGTGATCCACTTCAAATGACGCTTTAAGATTCTAATATATAAGTTTTCATATGGTTAATTCATGGTAGTTTTTTTTTTTTTTTTTTTTGGATGAAGCTGAATTGTTTCTCTAAATTTATTTTTAGAAGTTTTAGGGTTTCTCGTGTCAGACTAGCAGCACATTGCATGAAAATTGAGTTGTATCATAGTTATGGATCTTATTTAGTGGAAACTTCTGTCCTATGTAGCTGTTTTGGAGGAGACACTGAAACCCGTAATTTTGCTTGCAGGCAGAGCTCTATAGAGTTAAAAAGGCATTTGACAAAGCAGAACCACTGTATGTGGAAGCGATAGATATACTAGAGGAGTGCTTTGGAAGAGATGACATTAGGTTGGAACAATATTGGACAGTTCATTTCATAATTTTGTTTCTTCATGAATAGTCCTGTTAGATTCTACATGTTACAGTAATAATATTGAAATTTATGTTAAGCTATGAACTGAATATTATTGAGACAGAAAAGCTGAAGGATATGAGGTACAAATCAGGGTAGGAGATGGTGATTGCAGCAGGTGGAGGTTGGCACGGAATGGCATGTTTTCAGTCGGCACTTTCTTTAAATCTTTATTGGGAGCTGAGAAGAGCTCTTTCCCTTGGAAGGCGGTGTGGAAGAGTAAATTGCCACCACGAGTAGCATTTTTACTATGGACGGTGGTCAGAGGATAGGTGCTAACGGCGGAAAACCTACGGACAAGGGGTTTTTGTATTACAGTGTGGTGCTTTATGTGTAGGAGGGATGAGGAGACGATTGATCACTTGTTCCTCCATTGTGATGTTGCTAGTTTACTGTAGAATGAGATTTTTGCATCGCAACACATAGATTGGGTGATGCCAAGGCGTATGGAAGGCGTGTTAAGGGCATGGAGGAGAAAATTTCGCGACAAGGATAGCAAACTTGCATGGGAGCTTATTCCGGGCTGCATAGTTTGGTGTGTGAGGAGAGAAAGGAACAGCCGATCTTTTGACGATCAAACAAGAACAGCAGAGCAACTTAGAGAATAAAAGCTATGTACTGATAAAATTTAGAAAGCAAACCTTTAAAAAAAAAAAAAAAAATTAAAATGGAATACCAATAGCTATAATGGAAACTAATCTATACTAATTATGCAGTCACAATATTATGGAAGTAGTAAATATGTACACCGATCTTTTGACGATCAAACAAGAACAGCAGAGCAACTTAGAGAATAAAAGCTATGTACTGATAAAATTTAGAAAGCAAACCTTTAAAAAAAAAAAAAAAATTAAAATGGAATACCAATAGCTATAATGGAAACTAATCTATACTAATTATGCAGTCACAATATTATGGAAGTAGTAAATATGTACCCTGTAGCATTATGTTCGTGTCAGTATATGTAGCATATTTCATGTTCATGAGAGGGGGTAGCAATTTTGGTTAGTAAGCTACTTAGTTTTCATATTTTTCTCACTTGGTTTGGTTGTTTCTTATCTGGAATCTCTTATGAAGCATGGACGTCTCTCAAATCTGACATTTGACATCTTTGTTTATATTTTGTTAAAGAGTTGGGGCTGCCCTTCACAATCTTGGTCAATTCTATCTTGTACAGCGAAAATTGGAAAAAGCTCGTGTCTGCTATGAGGTAAAACTCACATTAGATTGTACGTGCATCTCTGTTACCATCATATTATAGGTAAAGCTCCAACGATTTAAATAATTGATTCTATTTCCCAGTTTTAGGTTGACTTCACTTTGATTTCTAAATGAAGTATTTCCTCCTCAATCCCCAGGAGAATAGATTGTAAGTACCTTGGGAGGTTGTCTGCTATATATTGTGGACCCTTTTTTCGGTGTAGTTCACCACTTAAATTTAGATATAGACTGAACGAATTTCTGATTAGATCTTTTAGTGGTTGCTCTTAGAATCCTAGTGGGTCAAAAAATATAGAACCCTTAGATTTTTCTTCATAATATTTGGAATTTTGAAAATTGTATCCCATAGATAAATTCATATGCAACATTGGGCAGAAGATTATTTAACAAACTTGTACCGGACCTACCTTTCCAAGCTTGATCTCTGCAGCTCTTCTTAAATGCCATAGATTTACATTTGTTTATATGACCAGATACTAATCGAACTGTCAATCTACTGGTTGTACAAGCCCCTTCTATCATGCTGATTGATTTCGGTTTCCTAAAGCTAAAGAATGGAAAAATTATGTTTCTTTTTTAAAAACATAATTTAATCATATGGGGTTCTCTGTTCAATAAATATATCTTGTTCAACTTGATCTATGAAGTTTTTTCCTTTTCTATTTTCACATTGTAAACTGAAAACTGAGAACATCATATATTTAGTGCTATTACTTTTAGACTAATGAAATTGTTAGGGTTTGAATTTTTCTTGTAAATTCTCTCTCTGTCCCAATCTTTTTTTTATACAAGTGCATAAACATAAAGGATAGAATTAATTTCATCTCTCTCTCTCTCTCTCTCTCTCTCTCTCTCTCTCTCTCTTTCTCGGCCTTCTGCATCGATTTTAGTGGTGTTGATAAAGTAAAAAGCTTTCCTTAACTTTGTATCGTGAAAATGGAAACATTTTTCCTCAGCTTATTGTGGCCAGTTGTGACTCCATTCTGGTCCCGTAGACTGCTAAGACTCTATGCCGATATCCTACTGTGTTGCCATCTACGAATCCACTTCAAGCACATAGGTGATTAAAAAAAAGAGCACGACAGTTTGTAGGGGTGGATCGGCTTTGTCATTAGAATTGAAGTAATTACAGCAGGGTTAGAGTTGAGATTGATGTAAAAGTGCAATTAATGCCTTTGTGTAGTATGTAATTGGAGTAGAACTTGATGCCGGAGAATTTGAGGCATCTTGGGATGAGTCTTTTAGATGTGTTTGCATGTTCCTGGTTCAGTAGTCTCCTTAACGTCCGCATTCATGGACTGGACATCTGTAAATATAAGTTACCGAAGGTCTATTAATTGTGTTAGGTGGAAAATCATAGAATAATTAAGAGTTATTGTTAATCTTGGTTTTTAGACTTATAACAACTAGGAAAATTGATGACTTCCAAGTTAAAAAGGTCCTGGATAGCTTGAGTCTCGACTATTTGATTTCTAAGTTGTAAAAGATTTGCAGGAAAGGAGTCTATTAGAGACTGCAAAACTATATTTCAATATATATAAATATTTGAAGAATGTATTTCAACTTTAATAAAAGACAGCTTTGATAACTTGTCTTGGTTAAATAAATTTCAGCTGTTACTGTATATTCCAGTGAAGCTGGTTATGGTAGACACGAAGCATTCTTTTCCCTGTGTTTTTTCATAAGTTTAAAATTGTTTTAATAGCCAAACATATTTTCTGTATTTGCAATTGCATTTGGGTCATATTTGAGAAACCTATCCATCCCTCTATTAGTTACCACTTGCCACAAAGGAATAATTGCTAATTAAATTGCAATATTTAAGCTGTTTTTGTACACTGCCAGTGTATGCAAACTCACTCCCATTTTTCTTATGCAAACTGTCGCAATTTGTCCACCTGATACTACAATGGGTTTTCTCTTCAAATTTCTGGCAGCGTTCTCTAAAGGTATGTCTTAACCGTGACACCTCAACTTCTATCTTTAGTGAATGGTTATTAAATATTTGTCTTACTATCATTTCTGATTGTTAGATAAAGCGACGTGTTTTAGGCGAGGCCCACCCAGACTATGCTGATACAATCTATCATCTTGGAACTGTAAGGCTGGAAATTTTCTCAATGTTTCTGAAATTCATATTTTTTTGTTTATCTGTTCTGACATGCAGTGACACTTCGGCTCAAATTGACTAATTGATCTGGAAAATGTTTACGATGCTAAAACAGGAATGAATGAAATGTGAACTTTTAATTTTATAAACTGCCGTTAATTTTATTTTATTTTATTTTTTTATTTATTTTATTTATTTTTTTAACCATTTCTGGTAACATTACTGACTCAAATTAGCACTTGGCAACAAATTCTGGACATTCTAGTGTACAATAAAATTGTCGATTTATCCGATTGGATGTGGTTCAGGATTTTAGTATAATATGAACTATGTTATAGGCAATTGTCTGTATTACATATTGTTTCAGAAATTAGCAGCCTTTGCACAATTTGCTTCCAAAATACCTTTTAACTATTAAAGGAGTATAATTCGTCGGAACAAGAAAAGGGGCCTGGCATTTATTAAGTTTTTCCAACTCAATCTCCTTTTAATTAATGGATTCAGAGAACACAGGAAAGCGGCAAGTTTAGCAATTCCAATATATTGATGAAGATTAGATTAGGAAAAAGTTCTATATAGTTACTACAGTTCACTTAACATGAACCATTTGCATATTTTCTGTAAAATTCTATATCGTTCTTCTTAATTTGCATCCATACTTGAGGAAAACAAAATGTTGACATAGATGATATAGATGAAAATTCCGGATCAATCTATTTATATGACTGCCTTCATTATGTTTTTGCTAGCAAATACCACTATTTTTTGGTTTTGTATCTTCCGAATCATTCCAGCTGGATATCCGGACCCTTTTTTCCTGATTTAGGTGATGACACTTCCTATCACTTCTTTTCGTAGTTGTTTAGCTACTTAAGATTTGCTAGGAACTTCAACTTTTCCTCCTGCAACCTGATTTTGACCGATAACCTTGGCGAATGACCTTGGAATCTCCTGTAATTCCAGTCTTTTACTCACGCGACTTGGTTGCATATTATGAGAGAACGAAATCACTTATAGCTTCTCATTTATGTTGTTTGTTCTAATTCTATTACATCATGCCATGACTGATCAATGTATATGAAATTGTGAATCACTTTTTTTCTTTTTATGTCAATGGTATTTATGTGCAATTTACTCTTTCAGTGTTGTACCGTGAGATATGAGTACTTCAACTGTAATGTTTATAGGTCTTGTCCCAAGAGTTAGTATGCATTTGTTCGTCATTGTCAAAATGATGGTATTTCAATGTGTTTTGAGTACTCATGGAAGTTCTCCTTTTGCTATGAACTATTAAGTTGTACCAAGAAGTTAGAAAACTTAGCAACATCCATGAGAAATCTTCTTTTACTTCCCTTAAAGATATCTTTGCACTAGATCCTGCAATCTTCTGTAACTATTATTCTTTGGATACAGTATCCTGATTAATCTATTCAATCACGTGCTAAATCCCTGATTAATTTATTTAACGAGTTTTTTTTTCCTCTTAAGTATTTTATCTCTTTATTCTCCAAGTCTTATTTCTATCTTCTCGTGCTTCAGATTGGTCAGTGAACATGTGGATTTAAAAAATTATAATACTTTTTTCTGCACATTCTTGTACAATAAGATCAAAAAATTTCTTTCTCAATTTTGTATTGAATTCTCTCGTCCTTTCTTGCTTATGTAACATTAGGATTATGTCATTCATACATGTGTTTGCATGGAAGTTTACTTTCAAGAACATGGTGACATAAATTTATCATGAATAACAAAGTGAGGTTCCTCAGTTTTATCCTCGACTTTGTATCTTCTTTCAGTGTGGGTGATTTATTGTTGTTTGGCTGTTCACTAAAATTTATCTTAATGACATAAAAGATGCCAACTTACAGGTCTTATATCTCCAAGGGAAAGAGAAGGACTCTGAGGACCTAATTTTGGATTCTATTCGGATTTTGGAGGTACATCAATATGATTCCAAGAGGAATGCTGATTGATTTGTCATATTGACTCTATATATCTTACTGCTTGGCGTTGATCGTGTAGGATGGTGGGCAAGGGGAATCCATCTTATGTATCCGGAGATTGCAATATCTTGCTCAGGTTTGTGGTTCACATCTTTAGCCATATTGAAGTTGTCATGTGCGTTTTTATATTTATGCTAATATGAGTACTGGAAATACAACCAGATTGTAGTAAAATAACAGTATGTAAACCTATAGAATTATACTCAGCAACAAAAAAAATAGAAAATAGGTAATTTGGCATTCGAGAGGCCAATCTCTCCCCTAGGCTTTTCTATATTTCAGCATGCCCCTACTTTCTGTATTTATAATGTGTTCTGTAATAACCCCTTCAACTATTTCTGTTAGCCCCCGTGTGTGTGTAGATTTTCCCTTTTGGCAATTTCCTTTCCTTCCCTCAGCCTTTTCTTGCATATGGTACACTGACTTGGACGGTGTCGTATCAGATGCGCCCCCCCCCCCAACCCCGATTGTAAGGGTTGAAGCAGATTTGGTAAATAACCAAAAAAGGGAAAATAATAATAATAATAATAATAATAATAATAATAATAAAATGTATAGAATTGAAGTAATCCGTCGCAAAAATAGTCATATTATGGCAATTAAAATTTGCTTGATAACGAATATTCGATGTAAAAATATCAATTGTGAACATTATAGGAGCTGAGAAAGCTTGTACCTTTAGCTTTTTGAGAATGAGAGACAGTACGGCGAATAAAATTTTTGAGCTTATGTTTGAAGTTAAAATACCTTTCTAGTCATCTTCTTTCTTTGCTCTTATGGTAATGCATAAGTTTAGAAGGAATCTGCTCTTGAAAAAAGTAACAGAAATGGGCTATCTGCTCTACTTTGTGACAAAGGACCATCAGCGCAATAATCCGTGTTGTGGCATGTCATACTGAATTTTTGTTGAAAAAGATCCACTGGAAAACATTAGAGTCGGGAAGGCTCCTGTTATTTGTTTGTTGAAAATGCGAGACACGGAAAAACTTTTAGGGCTTATATTTAAGCTCTAAAATTCTCTTTGGCCATCATTTTCTTATTTTCTTGCGGTAATCATGTTAATCTTTATCTTTACTCGAATTTTCACTTATATTCTTAATGTTTTTTTATTTAGGTTGCTCTTAGATTCTCAATTATATCATGTTCATTTTGCTATTGCTTATAGATATACACCAAGGCCAATCGATTTACTGATGCCGAGATTTTGCTGAGAAAGATTCTGCATATAGTGGAGCTATCGAAGGTTTACCACCATTTTTACTATCTCTATTACAATGATATCAGCTTTCATTTTTATAGTATTAAATTATCAATTTGGAGTAATGCCTCTAGAGTAGCTCTCAAGAAATTACTAAAATGTATTTAAATGGTCAGTTTGACATTGCATATCTTGAACGAACACCTAGCAATGTCATCTTTGCTAGGAAAGCCACTGCTGAACCACACTAAAAGCAGAGATGGCCAATTGTTTATCATTTGAATTTTGTCTTCAATATGCTTTCAAGTGTTGGCGGTTTTCATATTTCTTCATTAAAGCCTGACACATGCACAATTTCATTAAATGAGTGGCGATGAGACTTGAAATCATGACCTTTTGTTGTCGTGATATCATGTTGAACCATTTAATCTAAAAGTTTAAGATGTTAGAAAGGGCCACATGTATATATCTTTAAAATCTTGTCTTCAACCCCCCCCCCCCCCCCCCCCCCCACAACGTTTCACTTTTCAATGAGGGAAGTTAACTGCAATACATTCTATAGCTTTTTATGAATTGCTTTCACAAACAAAGCCACGCTGTGGTTTGCTGGACCTCTTATATGGCACCCTTTTATATGTTTCTAGTTTGTTCTCCTATAATTTCCTTTTCCACCTTATGTGGCACCCTTTTATATGTTTTTAGTTTCTTGTTCTATAATTTGCTTTTCCACCTATCTTCTTACTAACTTCTTATCTGCTGTCCACAGCACAAATTATATAAAACATGGTGATCTTGTCCTATTGCTTACTGGAGCTACTGGAAAACTTGTCATCGCTGCAGTTAATTTTCCTTGTTCTTCTGTTTATGAATGTTAATCTAATTTATGATACTGTCACTCCCCTTCACATGCAAGAGAGATTCCTTTTTTCTATTAAAGCCTTAGAGTTCTACAAATTTTTGAAAAGTAGGGGGGGCGTCGAGAATTGACACAGGAGCTTTGCCTTCTCCTATACCATATTTTAGCACTTAATCTAAAAGTTTAAGGCTTAAGGTGTTAGAAATGGCCACATATATAGCATTTAACTACTAACTTCAACAAGCTTCTATTGATTGAGCTTGGCTCTGTTTCGTAATGCATGGTGCAAAAAAATTGCAAAATTCTATGCATAAGGTTTCTGAGATCACCAAAATATTTTCTCTTCACTGATGTTGTGTAAAAGCAACAATGTTCAATTTCTTTTACATTTAATCTCCTTTTATACATTTCTTGAAATATTTAATTTTCATGATACGTGTTATCTGGAGTGTGCAACATTCTTATACTATGTTGTTATTATTATGATTAGTTTTTATTCTGGTATTCCTAATTTTTGTATGGTTACATTTTGTTATAAAGTTCAATAACGATTTTATGCAGCAGGGATGGAAATCTTTAGACACTGTTGTTGCAGCTGAACGCCTTGCACTGAGCCTCCAATCAGTAGGACAATTAAGGGAAGCAGCAGTTCTGTTACAGAGGTGCATTATTAGTTAATAACTTTAGGAGGTAGAAAATTGTATGCTTCCTGCTGAACGATAAGATGATGCTGCTTTTGCCAGATGTCTCGATGCCCGAAAAGTTTTGCTTCCGGAAGAGCATATTCAGGTTCCTGACCTTGTCTCAGCATCTGAATAGGAGTTTCATCTTGAGTGGCTCTTTCTTTAGAAATATTCTTCTGCTGTAGCCGTGTTAAAATGTAGCCACAGCTGCTTTTTTCAACCCTTAAATAAAATGTAACATCCTACTCAGTACCAACTCTTTTAGGAGTCCACAATCCTACATATTTTAACCAGCCATGACCAGCTATGTAGGTATAAATATCTTAGATAGTTAAGAGGAATAGAGAATTTTACTCTTTTGTCGTTTTTCATTTTTCCCTTTATTTACATTTTGTTTAGGGATACCTTGTGTTTCTGAGAAGAGATTCTGTATTCTTGATTAACAGAATGCTGCAAACATGCTTCATATTGCTAGACTAAAAGTGCTCAACTCAAGCCAGCTAAGGAAGATGAATAGTTCTCAAGCAATGAATGAGCTTGATCTGGCAAAAGATCTTTTGGGCAATTCCATAAGGTCGATTGTGTTATATACTTTATTTCTATATCTTATAATGCATGCATACATTTTTCTTTTTCCTAAAGATTTCTGTATGTCTGGTAAATTATTATACATGCATCTATTATTACTATTATTTTTTTCTGTTATGCATTAGTAAACGCAGCAGCATCTTTGCTGCAGAAGATCTAACTTAATATTTTTTTTCTATGCTGTTTGAATTTTAAATATGGTGAACAGATCATTAAATGCTAAAGCAAAAGAACCTTACATTCATTTTCAATGACTTATTTTTGTCTTCTAGTTCTACCCCTGAAGCTCTATAAAGATCTTAATTATTTAGTTATCTATCCATTCCTTGCTAATTGATATACCTGTGCACTGGGATATATAGTTTCTGGTGATTCTAAAACTAAAATTGACTTTCAATTTGTAGCTTGTAAATTTCCAAAGTTCCATATGGATCTCAATATACAGTTTCTGGTGATTCTAAAACTGAAATTGACTTTGGATTTGTAGTTTTTTAAGTTTCCAATGTTCCAAACCTGGTGATAATGGATCTCAATTAAAGATCTGTTTTAAGTAATTGTGTGGTTATTTTCAAGGTTGCAGTAGAAGTTGTGCCTGTATTTGTGCAGAAACACCAACATGCACACTGCTTGGAAAAAAAATGTTTTGACTGAAGGACATTCAAAAAAGTCAACTTGTGCTGACTTAACTAGGAGTGCTATACTGCTATTGGGTTTCGGGAATAAAAGTCAACATATGCTATTTTTGGTTTTGGATCTTGTTCCTGACACACCTTGATTCAGCCACGTCGCACTTGGAACTGGCACATACACAAAATGTTGTCATTTTCTAATTATTCATGTCAATTTGGTAGCTATAAGGATTTATATATGGAGGTATTTGCATAACCCCTGTACGAGAAGAATACTCTGTCATATGACTCTTTGTCAACACTCGAGTTCATAAATTAATTTCTCTTGTTTGTCACGTTATCTCTTTGTTTATAACATTCTGACAATATGGGCAAAAGTATCTTCTTCTTGTGGATTCAAATTGACACAGTGTAACGGCAGATATCACGTACTTCTTCGTTTGGTGTTGATGTGGTAAATGATAAGAAGCTTTCTTTTGCAAACCGGAAACACCCCAACAGTATAGTTAGTTCTAGAAATCACATGTATTACATGATTGGGAGGTTACAATCAAACATAACAAGATGTTAACCTGACATTATTGTTCCCTGATTTATAATCAATAGGCAATTTGTGGTCTCTGATGCAAACATTTAGTCGTATTACTGTCCTGATGTCTACTAGAGAACTTTGTTTCAGTGAAGCAGTCTGCGATAACATGTTCTAATGCTCATATGTACGTTGGTTTTACCTTAAGCACATTTTGTGAATGTAAGAAATATCAGAAAAAGTTTTAGCAAATGATTTGTTGTTCAAAGGTTGTTCCATAATGCCCTTGGGGAACAATTAACTTCCACTTGTATTCAAAGAAGGGTTCCTAAGTTGTCCTTGCCTTTTTGGCCTAGATATACCTAATATTACATTAAAAAATGCAACACCTTGATGTATAATGAGAAACTCTGCCTGTTATTACTAGTTGCTGCTTGTTGAAATTTAGCCCCGTTTGGCCCTCATTAAATTACATTCTATTTTTCTCTCTCCTATTTTTAACCACATAATCTTCCATATAATAATATTACACGTAAATCGAAAATTTTTCCTTCTTTTTTAACCACTCATTTTTCAAAAGAATACTATTCCATCCATTTTCATTTTAAAAAAATGGGGGCCAAACGGGGGCTTAGTAAGGAAAGTTGAAAGCATGTTGCACAGTATTCCTGGATTGAACTATAAAATAAGCATTTCTCTTTCAATTTTGCTTATGAATACTTCAGCTTCTGGAGTTTAGCCAGTTGGAGTTGCATTACCACTGATTCTAAATGAATATTAGAAATCCACAGAACTGATTGAAAACGTATTAGCTTGTTTTCTGCTACTTCAATTTTAAACTAGGACGTGCTTATTTATGATTTCTAGTAATTATATGTCAATATGACTTTTTGTGTTTACATAATTGCTATTTTACCAATAGGATTGCTCGGAAAGTACTCATTCGACGTGTGAAGCCGAAAGAAAATGAAGAATTCACCATAGTATCCAAAAAGGCTGAGAAAGATGGGCATGTAGCAATGATGATACTGGTCAGTTTTTCCATTTGATGTAAACAATGAATCAATCTGCAATACATCACCTTATTTACTTTTCGTATTAATAAAGTTCCATGAGCTAGTTGAGCAGGGTCAAATTTTTCCAGTATTTTTATAAGTATAGAACCTTATTACAAATTATATCAATGTTTGACTATTTTCACGGTTTTCTTAACAGTATCTTGCCTCAAGACTAGCATGAAATTTATGGCTGAAATAATTTTCATTTATGACATGAATGCTCTTTTATTGTCAATTTGTGTGGGTGTTTATCTGTCAGTAAAAAGGCTTGAGAATCCTAGTTTCCACTCATTATTTGGTGTCAGCATTATATAACTGTTCTTTTTTGGTAAAAGAAGTCCAATTTGTTCACTTCTTTTTGCTTCTGCCTCCTCTTAAGTTGGTGCATTTTAATAAAAACATCATATCAATATTTGATTTCTTATATAGTTCCATAATAGTGATATTTTCTTTGAATTAAAACATTTGTACCTATCGTCCAATCCAGTCAATTGAAAATAAGAGTTTCTTTTACCTCTAAAGATGCTAATAAGAAATTTAAAAGAGGAAACAAGATGTCTCGAAGACTTGTAAGAAAAAATTTGAGGTAGCTGCTCAATCTTTCTGAAATGGAGAAAGGCAAAAACCTAAAAACGAAAAAATAAAATAAGAGATCTTTCACTTTTTGCTTGATCATCTTCTACAAGCACTGAAAATTGCAGATGTCGATTTCCGCTGTAAATGGCTATGAAAGTGAATGCATAACTAGTTGAAAGAGATGATGCATAAATAAAGCTTACAAAATAATTAACGTTCAGATTCCAGTGATCACTTGACCCCCTAGTTGAGACCATGCAGTTTGTTTTACAATTTGTTTATAAACTTGGATTTAACAATGGTTAATTGGTTCAAAGCCAGAGTAGATGTGATTATGTGATATACCTATCCGTAAATTGACAGAGACAAAATACTCATGATCAATATTTGGTTAGTCAATATTTTTAAACCTAGGTGTGGTAAAAGATGACCTAATTCGGTTTTAATTGTTCCTAAATGTTGTTGTAGCTGCAATCACTTAATGCTCTTGGGATGTTGGAGATGACGAAGATGGAAATACAGGAGTCTAGGGTCAGTATTTACTACTTTCACCATTTATATAACTGTGCTTATCGATAGAAAAACAACTATACAGAGTTCTATCATTTTTTTAGTGATCATCGGTCTGATATCACTTGTAAACAGGGTTGGGAGTACCTTTTTTCTCTCTCCTCTTCTTCGTCCAGAATCTGTTCTATGTTCTTAATCCACATGTACTTTTTTCGAGGTGCTAAGGCCAAATAGGTGGCTGAAACTTATAAGCTACTGTGGCCTTCAATTTCTATTATTGGCGGTCATATGGAGAGAGTGAAGCTTGTGTGTGTGTGTTGCCAAAAGAACTAAATATCATTTGTTCTGAAATTGTCTTGTATTTCCCTGCAGTGCATAATAGCGATTGCTTTCTAATAATGGGAAGATATTAAGACTTCGATTGATTGATTGAAAGAGGAGAAAGGAATGAATAAGAGAATTTAATACCTTGTGCATTTGGTGAAGTAGAAGGAAATTTATCACTGATTTTCGGCGTTTTCTGTAGAAGAATATCTTCTTCTCGGTGCTTTTTTAAGCTTAAAGAAAATGAAAAGTTATAGATGTACATAGTGGAATCTCTAATGAAAAACAATAGCCTGAGGGTGATATGTGGAACAATTATGGTCCTTGCTATATTTATTAACATTTAGAGAGATTCATGATGAGAGCATTGATTGTTTTTCCATTCCAGTAATTGATGTTGGGTTTGTGTTCTTCACATTTATGTTATGATTTTGACCATGAATACTAGTAAGATGAGTTTTCACGTTTCTTTATTTATTCAGGAGGAACATCAATTTGAGGCCGATGCTGCACTTCGACAGTGCATTTCTGTTTATAAGGAGGTACATGGAGTTCGAATTATGCAAAATTTCTAGTTGCCTCCATTTCTTTGGACAGATTGTGTGCTCGTTTATTTTGTTTGCTTTTGCATAGGACAATGTTTTCAATATTTCCAATTAAGAAATTCGTACTCATGTACAAGGTTCAAATTTTCATGATTCGTCAGTTAAGCTGAGTACTTTCCATTTCTGCAGTTTGGATCTGTGAAGTATTTATCTGATCATCCTGAAGTAAAAGCTGAATATCTCTCATGTTTAAGGCATTTATCAAATTTGATGAGCAGTTACATGAAAACTAACAGAAGTTCATTGGAAGAAATGAATGAAGAAATTCAGCGCATCGAAGTTGAAATTTCAAGAAATAGAAGACGTGAACATTGAATTGGCAGCTGTATGGATGTTTGTTGATAGCATTCGCAGTCTGAAAAAGCCTCTTTGCTGAAGGGGTGATGAAAATCTGCAACGGGAATTGGATCCACATCTAATTTCGGATTTTCAGCAATTATAATCTTCATCTGAAATATGAACAAAAACATGAACCTAGATGATGCTCACATGAGAAATTTAATTTGCTAGTTGATGACTTGTAATAGCACGAAGAGGTTTCACTTGTACTGAAATCTGGTTGTGGAGGATTTCAATAATTTAAAGTAATTTAATTAATTTTTATTTTATTTTTATTTTTGGCTTAATACTAACTCTTGAATAAAAGTATATCAACTAGTGTTTCCCATTCAATTCGTTTTATAACATTATATTATTATGTTTGGTAGTACTCTTTAAGTGTTGATAAGTTGTGACCTATAGATTGTTTGGATAGGGTCCGTTTGATAAGATTTTTGCTTGTGCTTCTTGTAGAATAGCTTTTGAAGGGAGTTATTTTAAATCATTTCATCTAAAAGATCTTTTAAGCATATAAAGCATTTTTAAAAAATTATCTTCATATTCAAAAGCAATTTTTTAGTTTCCGAAGTTGTTTTTAGCTTTTCAATAGTCTTGTCATACGGGGCATTAAGTGATAGTAAGTCATGGGCACTAAAAAATTTGCGAATATAGGAAAGTACGTTTAACAAGTTAAAAAAGTTTTAAGCTTTGCCAAACATGCACTTGAGTTTGGAAATAATTGCACTATTAGATTTTCAAAATAGTTGTGCCGGACTTACCCAAGACCTCTTTCTTTACCGGCCACAGAAGATGCACAAAGTGCTTTCAGTAGCACTACCGAGTTCGCATCTCCGGTGTATAGAGAAGACCTCACCATTTAAGAAGTAACCATAGAAACGACGGAACCCACTATTTCATTCCTTTCTAGTTTTAGAGTTCTCAACAACAAAACCCCTCTATTAGAAATTTCTAAAGCATGGTGTATGAAATAATCAAATGACTGAGGACATTATACTATACATTATAAAGTAATTGAATATTATTTCCAATCAAATTTTGTTGGAACTGTATTCTTAAATATTAGAATATAAAAAATTTACTAATTATAAAGTATACTTCAGTATATTCCTTTTATCTCGTAATCTTAGAAAATCTATGTAATCTAGATCTCGAAAGTTGAAGTTAATATAAATTAAGTTGTAGTTTACATGAATACCGTCAAAAGATAAGAGTCAAAATTGAAGGAAATCAAGCGAAAGGGTTTCTAACAACGATACACAAGAAGATGCTCAGTGAAAAACCTTGACTTTCGGACCCTAAATCAATGGTCGTAGACCTTTTGATTATTGAAATGCAACCATCTGGTTTGGCAGAGAATAAGGGTCATCAGTTGTGCGGAGTTAAAATTGAAGTCAAGCAAGAGAGTTTCTAACAACCATAAACAAGAAGATATTTGATAAGTCTTTTATACACTTATTCGAGGATTTAAATAATGATATTTTAAAGTTCAATTATTGAAAATAGCCTAATTCGTGTTATTTCTTGTCTAATAGTTAAAACTCATGATTTGATAAAGAATAGAAGAAAACAAGCTAAAAATAGATAAGAATGGCGAAATCAAAATTATGGGGACTAAAATGCAACATTTCAATAGTTGTGTCAAATTGCGAGATGACGATTCAAGAATGCAAAGGATCAATTGGAAGTAAAGAGAAATCAATGGGATGAAAAATTATCAAAGATGACCAAAATACACACATAAAAATATTTAAAGACCAATTTATAAGGGTAAAACCCTGCGTCTGCATAGGCCTGCAACCTTGCGTACACACAAACCAATTACGGATTTATTGAGGCCAAAATAAGTCTATTGCGCTCTCCTTACTTTGTTTTGGAAACTTTTGATATGCAATTTTTTGACACTCTATATCTGTCAAAAGGTGTGGAAAAAAAATAAATAACTCCCTTAAACCTAGAAATCTCTATATCTACGTATTTTGGAGGCGAAGAACGAGGCTAAGCATTAAGATCAAAGTGGATTATACAAGTTTATTGAAGAATATCATTCATTTTCAAGATTCAAGCCAAAAAATTGGATTTCTCTACTTTCTTCATTATTTCTTCTTTCCTAGTGATTTTTTTAAATATTTCTTATATAATTTAATCATTAGAATGCTAGGCTTGTTTTTCTATTGTATTGGATGAATGATGAACCATATTGCATATTTGTTTTGATTTAAGACTATTAATTTAGTTATTTTTTGATTTTCTTTATTGATTTTGCATTCTCATTGCATTATTTAATTGATTGGTTACAAATTGAATAATAATTATTTGTTGTAATATTGAAATACTCACAATAAGTTTAGAACACGATAAAAGTAACATATGTAGATGGAATTGGAAATAATCTTTATCATATATGCAATCACATATATAACATATAATTTAATGTATTTTGGTCAAATGAATTCGGAATAGATCGGGTCGTGATTAGAATAGACTTAATTTGTCTTGAAAAAAGAGAATTAAATACACTAGTGTTATCGATTGCCACAAAAAGCATGAAATTGAATATATTACAAATTAAGAATTAAAATAAATGATAATAGGAGAATTCAAAATTCAATACAATCATTCATATGTTTGAATGACAACAAAATCAAGTCTTTCGTGTCACAAACATTGAATTTAATAGTAACTAGTGAACTAAAATTAAACATTATTTTTCATGGGACGATTACTCACCACTCACTTTATTATTAATTGTACAATGATCCCGTACCTTGCAGGTTTCACTCAAACAATATTCATCGAAAAACCTTAACTTTTCGATCGTAGAATCAATTGTCGTAGGTTTTTCAATTATTGAAATGTAACTATTTGGTTTGGCAGAGAAGACGGGTCATTAGATGTGCAGCATGGCCAGACATGTAATGGGGTTTGTAAATTGTTACTTCTCAACTGTTGCAACATTATCGCGACGGATGGTTATATTCACACTACACTTTATATAAATATACATTATGTTTTAATTATATTTAAAGGCATTAACTTTTATTCATTATCACAATTATATCATTGATTTTTTTCATCCCATTCTTATTTTTAACATTTTGATTGATCAAAAAAATCTTGTCCTTTATCATATTTAGTCCCAAAATATTGTTAATGTACTTTAAAACTAGGGTTAATATTTTTGCACTATTATTTGTTTTGCTTATTTAAAATTGCAATAGACAAATGAGTATTTTTACTTTATCTTAAAGAAAATATTGAAGAGACCATAATCGGGAATAATATATGTTAATTTGAGAATAAGAATGTGATGAAAAAAATTGAGACTAAATGTGATTATGTGATTAATAAAAAAAAAAAAAAAAATATATATATATATAATTCCTTTTATCTTGTAATCTTAGAAAATCTATGTAATCTAGATCTCGAAAGTTGAAGTTAATATAAATTAAGTTGTAGTTTACATGAATACCGTCAAAAGATAAGAGTCAAAATTGAAGGAAATCAAGCGAAAGGGTTTCTAACAACGATACACAAGAAGATGCTCAGTGAAAAACCTTGACTTTCGGACCCTAAATCAATGGTCGTAGACCTTTTGATTATTGAAATGCAACCATCTGGTTTGGCAGAGAATAAGGGTCATCAGTTGTGCGGAGTTAAAATTGAAGTCAAGCAAGAGAGTTTCTAACAACCATAAACAAGAAGATATTTGATAAGTCTTTTATACACTTATTCGAGGATTTAAATAATGATATTTTAAAGTTCAATTATTGAAAATAGCCTAATTCGTGTTATTTCTTGTCTAATAGTTAAAACTCATGATTTGATAAAGAATAGAAGAAAACAAGCTAAAAATAGATAAGAATGGCGAAATCAAAATTATGGGGACTAAAATGCAACATTTCAATAGTTGTGTCAAATTGCGAGATGACGATTCAAGAATGCAAAGGATCAATTGGAAGTAAAGAGAAATCAATGGGATGAAAAATTATCAAAGATGACCAAAATACACACATAAAATATTTAAAGACCAATTTATAAGGGTAAAACCCTGCGTCTGCATAGGCCTGCAACCTTGCGTACACACAAACCAATTACGGATTTATTGAGGCCAAAATAAGTCTACTGCGCTCTCCTTACTTTGTTTTGGAAACTTTTGATATGCAATTTTTTGACACTCTATATCTGTCAAAAGGTGTGGAAAAAAAAAAAATAAATAACTCCCTTAAACCTAGAAATCTCTATATCTACGTATTTTGGAGGCGAAGAACAAGGCTAAGCATTAAGATCAAAGTGGATTATACAAGTTTATTGAAGAATATCATTCATTTTCAAGATTCAAGCCAAAAAATTGGATTTCTCTACTTTCTTCATTATTTCTTCTTTCCTAGTGATTTTTTTAAATATTTCTTATATAATTTAATCATTAGAATGCTAGGCTTGTTTTTCTATTGTATTGGATGAATGATGAACCATATTGCATATTTGTTTTGATTTAAGACTATTAATTTAGTTATTTTTTGATTTTCTTTATTGATTTTGCATTCTCATTGCATTATTTAATTGATTGGTCACAAATTGAATAATAATTATTTGTTGTAATATTGAAATACTCACAATAAGTTTAGAACACGATAAAAGTAACATATGTAGATGGAATTGGAAATAATCTTTATCATATATGCAATCACATATATAACATATAATTTAATGTATTTTGGTCAAATGAATTCGGAATAGATCGGGTCGTGATTAGAATAGACTTAATTTGTCTTGAAAAAAGAGAATTAAATACACTAGTGTTATCGATTGCCACAAAAAGCATGAAATTGAATATATTACAAATTAAGAATTAAAATAAATGATAATAGGAGAATTCAAAATTCAATACAATCATTCATATGTTTGAATGACAACAAAATCAAGTCTTTCGTGTCACAAACATTGAATTTAATAGTAACTAGTGAACTAAAATTAAACATTATTTTTCATGGGACGATTACTCACCACTCACTTTATTATTAATTGTACAATGATCCCGTACCTTGCAGGTTTCACTCAAACAATATTCATCGAAAAACCTTAACTTTTCGATCGTAGAATCAATTGTCGTAGGTTTTTCAATTATTGAAATGTAACTATTTGGTTTGGCAGAGAAGAAGGGTCATTAGATGTGCAGCATGGCCAGACATGTAATGGGGTTTGTAAATTGTTACTTCTCAACTGTTGCAACATTATCGCGACGGATGGTTATATTCACACTACACTTTATATAAATATACA